TGCTGCTGCTGTTGCTGCTGCTGCTGCAGCTGCATGCGGTGTGTGCTGGGGTGTCTGTACAGGCCGGATCCACGCGCAGCTGCACCAGTGTGGGGCCGGCAGCGGCCGGTTTTCTTGCGACTCTCCCAATCTGCAGCAAATCCCTCGAGAAGCATCTTTTCGCCGCTGCTTCGTTCCTGCTGCTCCTCTCCCGCTGCAGCAGCAGGGGCTCTCCAGCGCTGCTGCTGCTGCTGCTGCTGCTGGGCGTGCGGGGGACAGCGGGGAGGTCGCTGGGCAGGCCGGGCCAGCAGCAGCAGCTGCTGGCGCTGCAGCAGCAGCAGCACCAGCACCAGCAGCTTCACCAGCAGCAGCACATGGAGCAGCACCAGAAAAGTGGAAATATGTTATTGCCGACTTCTCCCAAATTGAGCTGCGAATTGCAGCCGACATCGCCGGCGACGAAAGGATGATTGAGGCATACCAGAAGGTTCGTTGCTGCTGCTGCTGCTGCTGCAACTGCTGTGGTTGCGAGCAGCAACTAAGTCAGCAGCAGAACGCTGCACACTGCTCTGTTCTGCGTGGGTGCTGCCGCTGCTGCACCTTGCGTTGCCTGCGGCGTTGCAACTACAAGTTTCGCCGATCCTAATGGTGCTGCCGCTGCTTCTGCTGCTTCTGATGCTGCTGCTGCTTCTGCTGCTGCTGCTGCAGGGCCGAGACCTGCATCGGCTGACGGCCTCGCTGCTGCTGTCAAAGCCAGAAGCCCAATTGACGAAGGCCGACAGACAACTTGCAAAGGCGGTGAACTTCGGCCTCATCTACGGTAGGCAGCAGCAGCAGCAGCAGAAGCAGAAGCAGCAGCAGCAGCACGCCAGCCAGAGGCAGCAGCAAGAACAGCAGCAGCAGCAACAGCAGCAGCAGCTCAGCATTTTTGCAGCTTCAAGCTCTGTGCTGCCCTGAGATGCCTGTGGGCGCAGCTGGGTTGCCGCGGGAAGAATAAGGACCCTTCATGAGTGAATTCAATCCTGTACTTATAAATCAATTTTACTTGCGATTAATAGTAATGGCTGCTGCTGCTGCTGCTGCTGCTGCTGCTGCTGTGCGCAGGTATCAGTGTGCCGCGCTTTCGGGAGTACGCGCTGTCAGCCTATGGGGTGTCTTTGACTTTGCCGGAGGCCCAAAAGTTTCATTCGAATTTCTTTAAGCACTACAAGGGCATTACTCGCTGGCACCAGCAGCAGAAGGTGTGCTGCTGCTGCTGCTGCTGCTGCTGTTGCTGCTGCTGTTGCTGCTGTTGCTGGGCGTGTTCCGGTGCTGCGGCTCCACCCGTGCTGCTGCTGCCCCTGCCCCCGCTGCTGCCTCCGAGGCGCAGCGCCAGCCCGCGCCTAGCTACCTGCTGCTGCTGCTGCTGCTGCTGCGGTGCAGCGCCAGATGCCTCTTGAGACGAGAACGAGGTCTGGGCGTCGCGCTCGCTTCGACTCTTTTTCGTTTACGAAGGCGCTGAACTACCCGGTGCAGGTAGGCTGGCTCGCGAGGGTTTAGGGTTTAGGGTTTAGGATTTAGGGTTTAGGGTTTAGGGTTTAGGGTTTACGGTTTGGGGGTGAGGCGGGATCGGGCCGTCTCAAAAGTGTGGAGTTTGCAGCAACAGAAGACAGACACGCAGAGGGTCAGCAGCAGCAGCAGCAGCAGCAGGAGGTGGAGGGAAGTGTGGGGTTTGCTGCGTGCTGCAGGGCACTTCAGCAGATATAACGAAAGAGAGTCTCGCGCTGCTGCTGCTGCGGCTGCCGCAAGTGCGGGGGCAGCTGGTGATGTGTGTGCACGACGAGATAATAGTGCAGCTGCCGGAGGAGCAGCAGCAGCAGGTTTGTTTTTTCCTTTTCTTTCTTTTTTTTGATTTTGTTGCTGCTGATTTTCCCTCTCTTGCTCCTCCACATGATTCTTTGTTTTAATGTCGCTTTTGTTTTGTTTGCTTTTTTTTATGTCCTTTTCTAAGTTGCTTTCGTTTAATATCTTTTTTGTTTTATTTGCTTGTCTGCTTCCCTCTGTCTTCTCTGTTATTTGCTTTTCTTTCGTTCCTGCCATCTGTCTATTTATTTATTATTTTATCTATTTCTTTATATATTCATTATTTATTTATTATTCATTATTTATTTATTTATCTATTTCCCTCAGTGTCATTTTTCCCTTTTTTTCCATTTTTGTTGCGCCTTCTATTTGATTTCTTCCTTCGGGTGTACGTACACTCCGCGGGCGTGCATGGAAAGCCGCAGTGCAATAATTTCAAATATTTTTTTCAAAAATATTTTTTGAAATGAATATGTATTTTAAATATCTCTTTTTTGTTTTACTGTTCTCTTTTGGCTCCTTTTGTCCCTTTATCGAGGGCCCAAGACATGATTTGGCGCAGCGGCCTCTTACACTGAGCGACCCTGCTGCTGCAGCTGCTG